TAAGCTGGTTAATGAGCCCTTGATAATAATGCAGAATATCTCCTTTTAGTAAAGTTGATCCATATGTTCCTTCATCTAGAGTCATAGAGTGGCTGGTGACTATTTCCTAAGGAGAAAGGCTATGCTCAACATAGAGTCCTGGTGGAGAAGTACTAAAAGGAGAGCTTTTGGCCAAGGTTAAAACCTGAAAATTTACCTAGTTGAGTTTTAATTGTATCATTTGTATGTTCTACCAATCCAAAGAACTGGGGGTGATAGGCACAATAAAAATACTGTAGAATAGGCAAAATATTACAAATAGTTTGCATTATTTATCTAGTAAAATAAGCCACTGTAACTCAAGAGGAAATTCTCCAGTTGGGTTTTTTTTCCTACCTACAATGAGGCTGTTGCTCTCCTACAAGAGAATGCTTCAACCCATACAAAATTATAAATACATATATTTGTATTCTTGAGATGGAGGCTTTGGATAAAATCCAATCACCATACCTCAAATGGATTTAAAGGAAGTGGGAAATGTCCTCGGAACCCATGGGACGATTGTCCAGGTATATATTTGAACAGATAGAACATCTGTTACATACTTTATGAGCCACTGTAGCAGTAATATTGTTTACTTCACGAAATCTTCTTTTAGGACTTCAATGTTTTAGCTCATGTACATGTTAAATTATAGGGAACTAAGCCCTTCTAGGTAAGATTGGTTTCTGATTGGGTCCAACCCTATCTGTTTGCATGGGACAAAGGTTCCCCCTTCCATTGCCACGCCCTCATTTCCTCTGCAGCTGTCTGTTGGAACTATAAAAGAGAGTCTTTTATTGACTTAATAGGAAGCAAGGAGCATAATTTGGATAATTTGGCTGTTTCATGCTGCCTGTCTAGCTGTAGCATCAGCTAAATAATTTCTTTTTGCGTCCATGGTGGTAGCTTTAGGAAGCTCTGGAATTTTAATAATTGCCAATTGTTTCAGTTACTGTATGACATCCCATAATTTTGCAACCTACTTTCCATTTCTTTATGGGTTGCCCTGAGAAAATTAACAAGCCTCACTGCTTTAACAATATTCTAAAGTTGTGAACCACACCAAAAGCAGAGCTATTATTAGTGTAAATATTGGCTATTTAAACTTTGGTCAATCGACAAGTCTGAGTTAGAAAAATTAATTAGGCTTGTTGGGCAGATCTTATTCAGGTAAATAAGAACTTTCAATTATGTCCATTATGGAAGTTATTGCATATCCAGTGCCAGTAACATCTCCGCTTACCTTTCAAAGATCCATCTGTAACTCAAATTAAATCAGCATTATCAAGAAGTTTCTTATAAAGCATTCGTAGGAGCAAGAAGGTAGTCAGTAAGCAAAATATAATCATGGATGTTTTCATCCTGCAAAGAAAGTAGTAGCAAAGTCGCTGGGTTAAGATTGTTATATCGAGTTCAAGTCAAATTGGTTGCAGAAGGCTAGAGCCAGTTGACTGAGAGAAGTTTTGAATGTAATGAGAATTCAGCAGAGATTCAACAGAATGATGAACATAATCAAAGGAGAGCCCAGCGCTCTCTTTTCCGTTTGCTTACACAACAGGTCTGCAGCAGAGACGGTGGTCCTGCAGAGAGGGAGCCCTGCGGCAGCCGCTGCTGACCGCAGTAGCCTATAGGTCTGTGGTGATCAGTGTTTGGGTTAAAACTCCTAAAAATATTTATTTTCACATATAAAAAGTTATGTTTATAATTAAGCTTTCTTAGAGTGGGAGCTTTAAATAATTCTTTAGAGATTTTATAGCTTGTTTCCATTATGGGTATCACTGAATTGGATCAGCTCAATTTGATTTCAGTAAGACATACAGGGAGAAACTGGGTCATTAATAAAAATACGGAATCTAATTTCAACAATATCCAGTCAAACCCAGGAATCCTTTAAGCTACTTTCTTGTTTTGGAAGAGAGAAAGATAAGATTCCTGTGAGTCCTTCAGGGTTAATTAGTAGCCTGTTCTCAGATATTAGATAACCAAAGTATTTTACCTCGGGTAAACAGAATGAGAGCTTGTCCCTTGATATCCTATGTCCCTTTATAGCTAGTTGTTATAATAGGTAAGTTGTGTCCTTTTTGGAGTCTAGTAATTTCCTAGAGCATAAACTAAATCACCCACAGTTGAATTAGAGTGGAATCTCTAGGAAATTTAACATCCTTTAAATCTTTTCCTATCTAAGGAAATAGGTGGGACTCTCCATATATCCTTGGGGCATTACTGTCCAAGTAAACTTGTAATCTTCCCAGGTGAAAACAGGTATTTCTGATCCTTTTTGCTGGAATGCTGAAAAAGGTACTATATGAATCTATTACTAGATAATACTAGCAGCCCACAGGAATAGCTGATAATAGGTTATGTGGATTTGGAACCATGGGATGTTTGGGAATAACTATTCTATTTATAGCTATGAAATTCTGCACAAACCTCCATTCTTTTCCACTGAGTTTCTTGCTGGAAGGACAGGAGAATTACATGGGCTTGTACATGGAATTATAAATCCTCTTTTAAGTAATCTTGTATAATGGGCTCAATTTCAGCTCATGAATAAAGGCTATTAGTAACTGAAAAAGGCCTGAAGTTGCACTGGAACACCCTACAACAAACATTTACTCTCAAGACTACTTTCCTAATTGGCCCAGTATCCAATTAACTTATTTCTAAATACATTGCACCCTTTTGGAAAAAAGATATGTGGGCATCACTGGTTTCAAGAAAATCTTGCCCTATGAGGTGAGTTGGGGCAGATTTGATTAGCAAAAATATATATTGCCCCATAACATTCACTAGTTGGAAGGGAACAGATTCTGATTTTAAAAACAGACATTGGTTGATTCGTTATCCTTACCATCTGCACAGAAGCTTTATTCTAAGAGCGGTGGCAGCTTAGTTTAATTTTTCCTGAATTACTAATAAGGAGAAGGGCTGAAATGCCTTCTCATAGTCCTTAGAGCAGCTTTGTGCTTGCCTCTGTTTCTTTTCTCTTTCTAAATCCCATTTCAATTTCCCATCATTCTTTTTAAGGTGAACAGAATCCCCTAGAGGAGTCTTCCTCTGAAAACTATTTAGTAATTCTGCTGCTTTTGCTCCCAGGAACCAGTAGGTATATTAATTGGAATAGGTCAGAACAGCCAGGATTACATATTTTTTTTTTTAAAGAATTTTATTTATTTACTTTTAGAGAGAGGGGAAGGGAGGGAGAGAGACATCAGTGTATGAAAGAAACATTGATTGGTTGCTTCTCACACGCCCCCAACTGGGGACCTGCCCCACAACCCCAGCATGTGCCCTGACTGGGAATGGAACCAGCAGCCTTTCGGTTTGTAGGCCCTTGCTCAATCCACTGAGCCACACCAGCCAGGGCCAAGTTTACATATTCTAAGAGTTAAATTCCTTTGTGAATCCATCAGGATCCCAGAGAAAATTGGGGACATTCTTAGGTAGATTGCTTAATTCTGTTCTAGTCCAAGAAATGTATATAAATGATAGTTCCCTTCTGCCTGAGACCAGCTTCTCTCCAAAGGGAGCTGCTAGAATTCCTGGATTATCCTTGTCTGAATTCCTATTCTCGTTTTCCCCTAGGTCAGTAGCAGTGGTAGTGGAGGAGTTATAGAGAAGATAGAAAGGAAAGGAAAAAGGGAGGGGGAGGGCAAGTCCAAACAAGGAAACTCAGAGAGCAAATACAGTAGAGGAGATGTAGAAGGGGGAGGAATGAGGAGTCAGCATTTATTAGCTTTAGACGCCTTCTGTAGGTCAAAGACAATCTTTAATACTTATTTTTTTAAAAGACTATCTGTGCTCTTCCTAGAGGCTTTTAGTTTCCAAGTCAATATATACTTCCCATTCATTCAGTTTAGTTTTAGAGCCAGCATTTTCTAATTTTGCATGCAAAAAATTAATTTAGGTGCCAAAAAAATCCCCAGCATATTGGCCATTTTAAGTGGTATCATTTCTGTTTACATCTTCCCATTTCTGTAAAGCACTTGCAAGTAAAGCCTTCCTATATCTCCAGGAGTATTAATGGGGGCGGGGAGTTTCTGGCCTTGGAACAACTTCCCGTGTTAATTTTAGTTTTATTTTGGGGTCTGTACAGTCAGCACAAATTACTAGGATTTTGTATAATGGGACAAAGTTGAGGCAGGAGACAGCATAGGAAGAACTCAGAGACTGCACTGCTGCTACTGGCCAGCGTCTAGCGTCCTGGCTGCCAGGAAACGCTTTTTAGCACTTAGGTGGAATGAGTAGTAAACCAACCAGGGAGGAGGAGGAAGTCATGTCTCACCCCCTAACTCAGCAGTCCTGAGCCTGGTCCGATAATACTGCCAGGTGTTCCAACATCACAAGAAACACTATGTTAGCAAGGAAGGAGGAAGTCCTTGAAATTCTATGTGGTGTTTCCACTACCTGGGAAAGAAAGCCTGGAAACTGTGCTTTCATCCGAAGGCCTGAAACGCCGGAGAGGGTCCACAGTGCCCAAAGAAGCGGCCCATAAAAAACTTGGGGTAACTGCCCCCACTTTAATTAACTGCCTCCTGTCACGTGCCTGTTTTACAACAAAATGAACAAATGGAGTCTGGAGCAAGATAAGACCCCCACACATACCTCAGTTTGGGTAGTCACATCCCCCCAGGAAAGCTGGCACCACAGTTACCCGTTAGTCAATACGTAGCATTTTTACTCCCATCCACCAGCCATATAGGTCCGCAGAACAGAGGACTTGCTTTCTCGGTGCAGGTTTAGTATGTGGCCCCTTTTTGTCCGTAGCTCCACAAACTCATCCTTTCATCCTAACCCCTACCCTGGCAACCAATAATTTTTTAATTGTCTCCACAGTTTTACCTTTTCCAGAATGTCAAAAAGTTGCAGTCATACAGTATGAAGGCTTTTTGGATTGGTTTTTTTCACTTAGTAATATGCACTTAATTTTCCTCCATGTCTTTTCATGGCTTGATAGCTCATTTATTTCTCTCTTTCTAAAAAATACGGAACACTTCATGAATTACAAATTATCCTTGCGAGGGGGCCATGCTAATCTCTGTATCCTTCCAATTTTAGTTTATATACTATGGAAGCAAGCACACTCTTTTTTTTTAGTGCTGCATCTGGACTCTTTCAGTTAACATTGTCTGAAAGATGAATCCAACATAATGAAAGTAACCAAGTTTGCTCTTTTACTCATATACTGTTCCATTGTATAAACATATCTATAATTATTTACCCTTTGTACTGTTGATGGACCTTTGGATGGTGTCCGTGTTTTTTAAAAACTTTAAAAAAATTTTTATTTATTGACTTTACAGAGAGAGAGGGAGGAAGAGAGAGAGAAAGAGAGAAACATGGATTTGTTGCTCCACTTATTTATGCATTCATTAGTTGTTTCTTTTGTGTGCCGTGACCGGAGATCGAACCCACAACCATGGTGTATCAGGATGATGCTCTAACCAATTGAGCTACCTGGCTAGAACAAGACTCTTTTTTTAAAGAGCATTTTAGGTTCACAATTATTTCTAATTTTTGACTGTAATAAATAATGCTACTATGACCATTCTTTTTATATATAAAGAAAATTTACATATATATAAAGAAAGAAAATATAAAATTTATATTTTTTGCATGCAAAATTAGAAAATGCTGGCTCTAAAACTAAACTGAATGAATGGGAAGTGTATATTGACTTGGAAACTAAAAGCCTCTAGGAGGAGCACAGATAGTCTTTACATATATATGTGTATATATGTGTCCTTTCTTTTTCAGAGAGAGAAAGGGAAAGGTTGAGAGAGAGTGACAGAGAGAGAAACATCAATGTGAGAAGCATCTATAGGTTGCATCCCACACGTGCCCCAATGGGAGATGGATCCTGCAATGTAGATTCATGCCCTGATTAAGAACTGAACCAGCAACCTTGCAGCCCTTATGGGAGGACACCCCAACCAATTGAGCAGTATCAGCCAGGACTAATTGTTGATTTTAGAGAAAGAGAGGTTGGGAAGAAACATTGACCCACCATTCCACTTACCCACGCATTCATCAGTTGATTCTTGTATGTGCCCTGACAGGGGGTCAAACCCACAAACCTAGTGCATAGGGATAAGGCTCCAACCAAGTGAGCTACCCAGACAAGGCCAAAAATTTTTTAATTTTGATGTAATTTCAAACTTACAGAAATGTTGCAAGAGGAGTACAAAGAACTTCTGTATATTCTTTAACCATATTTACTAATTAGCATTTTCTTTCTGTCTCTCTCTACATAAATATAAAACATAATACATAATATATAATATCAAGGGTTAGGGTTATGGTTTTATGTATATGTAGAAATATATATATTTTATATTTGTAAATTATATGTAGTATATATACATTTCTAAAGAATAAGGACATAATCTTAAATAACCAGTATTAATTTTTCAAAATCAGGAAATTTACTGTTATCTAATCTACAGTATATATTCAAATATTTTCAATTTCCAATTGTCCCAGTAATATACATTATAGGAAACATTTCTTTTTTTTGAAGATTCAGTCCAGGAGCATGCATTTATATTTAGTTGTCATGTCTCTTTGGTATTTTTTAATCTAGAAAAATTCTTTAGTCTTAAATCTAAACGACCTTAACATTTTGAACAGGCCAGCAGGATGTTCCTCAATTTGAGTTTGTCTGATTCTTGCCTAAATCATTCTTGCTATGATTTTTGTCAAATGGTGATATTTTTATTGTAGTTTTTAAAAATTATTTTTTACTGTGGTGAAATACATGTAACATAAAAATTGCTGTTTTAAGTATTTTTAAGTGTATAAGTCAGTGTCATTAATTACATTCACAATGCTGTGCAACCATCACCACTATTTCCAAAACTTTAACCACCTCAAATAGAAATTCTATCACTACTAAAAAATAACTCCCCATTTCCACCTCCCTTATTCCCTGGTAACCTCTAATGTACTTTTTGTTTCTATGATTTTGCCTATTCTACATACTTTACATAAGCGGCATTATACAATATTTGTCATTTTGTGTCTGGATTATTTTACTTAGCATATTCCTTTCAAGGTTCATTCATGATGTAATGTATTTTATTTGTATTTCTCTAATTATTAATAATGTTGAGCATGTTATCATGTGCTTATTGACTATTTGTATATTTTCTTTGGAGAAATGTCTCTTGAAATCCTCTGCCCATCTTCTACTTGAGTTTAGTTTTCTGTTTTTTTAAAATTATATTTCATTGATAATGCTATTACAGTTGTCTTGATTTTCCCTCCTCCACCCAGACGACACCCCCAACTCCCTCAGGCAATTCCTCCCACCATTGTTCATGTCCACCCGTCATGCATATGCTACTCCATTTCCTCTGCTGACTTTATATGCCCATGGCTATTCTGTAACTACCTATTTGTATTTATTCATTCCCTCAGCTCTTCACCCATTCCCCTACAAACCCCTCCCATCTGGCAACCATCAAAATGTTCTCTGTATCCATGAGTCTGTCTCTGTTCTTGTTTGCTTGGTTTGTTTTTTAGATTCAGTCGTTGATAGATTTGTATTTTTTTTTTTTTTGCCATTTTATTGTTCATAGTTTTGATTGTCTTCTTTTTCTTAAATAAGACCCTTTAACATTTCATATAATAAGGGTTTGGTCATGATGAACTCCTTTATTTTTTTCTTGTCTGGGAAGCTCTTCATCTGCCCTTCCATTCTAAATGATTGTTTTGCTGGGTAGGGCAATCTTGGCTGTAAGTCCCTGCTTTTTGTGACTTTGAATATTTCTTGCCAATCCCTTCTTGCCTGCAAAATTTCTTTTGAGAAGTCAGCTGATGGTCTTACGGGTACTCCCCTATAGATAACTAACTTCTTTTCTCTTGCTGCTTTTAAGATTTTCTCTTTATCTTTAACTTCTGGCATTTTAATTATGATGTGTCTTGGAGTGGGCATCTTCGCATCCATCTTGTCTGGAGCTCTCTGTGCTTCCTAGACTTGCATGTCTATTTCCTTCACCAAATTTCACCAAAAAACAAAGGGAAGTTTTCTTTCATTTTTTTTTAAAATAGATTTCCAATTTCTTGCTCTTTCTCTTCTCCTCCTGGCACCCCTATGATGCAAATGTTGGACATCTTGAAGTTGTCCCAGAAACCGTTTGCACTGTTCTAATTTCTTTGGATTCTGTTTTTTTCTTGTTGTCCTGATTCGTTACTTTTTTTTACTTCCTTATGTTCCAAATCATTGATTTGATTCTCAGCTTCATCCACTCTTCTCTTGTTTCCCTGTCAATTGTTCTTTTTTTAAAATTTTTATTTATTTATTTTTAGAGAAGGGAAGGGAGGGAGAAAGAGAGGGAGAGAAACATCAATTTGTGGTTGCATCTCGTGTGCCCCCTACTGGGGACCTGGCCTGCAACCCAGGCATGTGCTCTGCACTGGGAATCTAACTGGTGACTCTTCAGTTCGCAGGCCGGTGGTCAATCCACTGAGCCACACCAGCTAGGTCCCCTGTCAATTGTTCTTTATTTCAGTTAGTGTATCCTTCATTTCTGACTGGATCTTTTTATGCTGCTGAGGTCCTCACTTAAGTTCCTTGAGCATCCTTATAACCATTGTTTTGAACTCTGCATCTGAGAGATTGCTTATCTCCTATTTGTTTAGCTCTTTTTCTGGTGTTTTGATCTTTTCTTTCACTTTGGCCATTTTTCTTTGTCTCCTTGTTTTGGCAGCCTCCCTGTGTTTGTTTCTATGTATTATGTAGAGTTCCTTTGACTCTATGTCTTGGTAGCGTGGCCTGCTGTAGTAAGTGTTCTGTAGGGTCAAGTGGCACGGCCTCCCCTTTCACCCAATCTGGATACTCAAGGTGCACTCTTCGTGTGGGCTAAATACACCTTCTTCTTATAGTCGAGTCTTCGTTGCTGTTGGCAGGTCAATGGGAGGGATTTACTCAGGCCAGTCAGCTTCAAGGATTGGCTGTGACCACTTACCTCCAACCTGTACCCTCTGTGGAGGATCAGATGTTCAGGGGCAGTGTGGTGGTGCTCCAATGTGGTCTGTATCTGTCCACTGCGTGTGCTGGCCCTGGGGTTTCCCAGGTGGTACAGGCCTAGGTCAGCTCCCACCTGTGTTTTGCCAAGGGCCACCCTGCCTGAGCTATAACACAATCTGAGGTGGTTGCTACCTGTGCTGGGTTTCAAGATTCCCAGGCAAAGGCAAGCTGTGAATCTAGGCTGGCTGCTACTAGTGCTGGGCCTGAGGCTCAATGAAGCCAGCTGTTGCTTGTTCGAGAGGATTTAGGAAGTTGTGAAGCATGAGCCAAGACCAGCCATTCATGTGGAAAAGTGGCTTGGGTGGACCCATAAGTTGGGTGGTACGGAGTCTCTGGGGGTCGCCAAGGTGGGTTAAACAGTGTTAGCCAGGTTGATGGAGTCTCAGAAACGGCACCTGCTTACTGGCTCTATGCGGGGAGGGTTTAGAAAAGAGACAATGGCTTCTTCTTGCTTTGATGCCAGACACTTCAGTTTCTCCCTGTACACCACTGGTGCCTTTCAAGCAGCTACTCCAGTAGCCAGTCAGAGGGAGTACTGGAGCTCAGAGAGAGTGAGTCTGAGTAGGTGAATCCATGTGTAGGTTCTTTAGGAGGAACTGCTTGGGGTTCCAGAAGTTTCTTCCACTGACTCAGTCCCTGCTGGTTTTTGCAGCTAGAAGTTGTGGGAACTTGTTTTTGAGTTTTAATAGTTCTTTTTGTATTTCAAATATTAAACCCTCATGTGACTTGCAAATATTTTCTTCCATTCTATGGGCGGTATATTAATTTTCTTGATAATGTCATTTCTTGATGTACAAAAGTTTTTAATTTTAATAAAGTCCAGTTTATCTATTTTTTTCTGTTGTTGTTCATGCTTTGTTGTTATAGCTAAGGATTCACTGCCAAATCCAAAGTCATGAAGGCTTACGCCTATATTTTCTTCTAAGAGTTTTATGATTTTATCTCTGATGTTTAGGTTGTTGATCCATTTTGAGGTAGGGGGTCCAGTTTCACACTTTTGCATGTGGAAATCCAGTTGCCTCAGCACCTTTTAAAGAGACTATTCTTTCCA